TTAAAAAAAGAATCACTGCCATTGATTTTTCCTAAATTTGGATCTTTCTTTGTTACAAGAAGGGGACTGGGAAGGCATATGGAGCCTCCCCCCGCCCCCCGCCCCCGCAGTTCTATGAACATCTAGAACAAGGTGATCATTGCTTTACTCAACACGAAAAGAAATCCTGGACTGTCCTTAAAAGGGCCAGGAGTATCCAGATTTAATCTTCAGCCTGTCATCAAATTGGTAAGTTATTCAGTGTAGAGAAGGAACAGGAGAATCCCTGTTGGTACAGTTGTAGATGCCACATTAGACCATCAGGACATAAGGGAATTCAGATACTACTAAGAGTGTTAACTTCCTACATCACCATGAGAACTAATAACCCAGACATCACCAGCCTGCATGCACAGCAATGTGGAAGCCCACTCAAGTGCAACTTTCCTGTTTCTAACTCTTTCTTACTCTCATCTTTCAAACCTTGACATCATGTTAACATAATTTAAGGTACAATGACTTTGCAATTTCCCAAGGTTTGAGGACTCTTGGAGTTTTAAATTATAACTGTGTTCCAAAATAAAAGAGTGATAAAAACATGGGGCGCCTGGGTGGCTCAGATGGTTAAGCGTCTGCCTTCGGCTCAGGTCATGATCCCAGGGTCCTGGGATCGAGCCCGGCATCGGGTTCCCTACTCAGGGGGGATCCTGCTTCTCCCTCTACCCACCCCACCCCCCGCTCATGATCTCTCTCTCTCTCAAATAAATAAATCTTTATAAAAAGTGATAAAAACAATTATATATGTAATATATACAGTAATATATAAATATGTAATGTAGTCCTTGAAATGGTCACCAAGTGGATATAATATCCAATGCCATTTTCTCTGGATGCATTCATCCATTCAACAGAAATTTACTAAGCATCTGTGTGTCCCAGAGGTTAATCAGTACCAGGTGTGAGGTCAAGAACCAAAATGTCACCATGGAAAGATCTAAAAGGACTGACTTCTATTGAGCAATTCACAAATATATACATAGATACAAATTATGGTGAGTGAAATTCTCTCCAATAAAAGAGAATTCAAGGCATAACATTTCAAAACCACTGGAAAATTACCTGTGAGAAGCCAGTAATCATTTAACACACACAATAAAATTATTTTTCATGTATATTTAATTCCTTCTTTTATTTTGGAATATCGTTAGATTTAGCAAATGAGTCTTTTCCAGTGAAATCAAGCCATATGTCCTGCTTAAATATATCAAGTTTAAACATTTGTATTGGTTCAAAGGAAGAAAGAAAAAGAATAGGTCATAGGAGCTAAATTAAAACATACTCTTCTTCCTCATTTTATGATAAAAATATTAACTGGTTTGACTCGCAGCTTTCTAGAAATGTCTGTACTCTAATCAAAATTTTCTTACGATCCCTAAGAAGAAAGTTTCTACTTTGGCGATGGGTGTTAGAAAGTGGTGTTATTACTGCAGAAGTTCTGACTAGTCCCAGGATTGTAAACTGTATACAGAGGCTCCCGGACTTAGGATACTTCAACTAGAACTTTCGACTTTACAGTGGTGTGGAAACAATACACATTCAGTAGAAACCATACTTGGAATGTGGATCTTACCCCAGGTTAGCGATGTGCAGCAAGCTCCTCTCCAGAAAGGCTGAGCAGCGGCAATGACACGGTTCCCAGCCACGTGCTCACAAGGATAGCACACTTAAAACAATTCTGTACCCATACAGCCATTGGGCTTATGGCTTTCAGTACAGTATTCAGTCAATTACATGAGCTAGTCAATGCTTGATCATAAAATGGGCTTTGTGTTAGATGATTTGGCCCAGCTGTAGACTAATGGAAGTGTTCGGAGCATGTTTCAGGTGGGTGAGGCTCAGCTATGATGTTCAGTAGGTTTAGGTGTATTAAATGCATTTTCAAATTAGGATATTTTCAACTTACCGTAGGTTTATTGAGATGTAGCATATCATAAATCAAGGAAGGTCTATATTCTTTCTTTGCACCATGAATTGAGTCCAGAAGATTCTCATGTGCAGTCAGAATTGCCACAGGACCAAAGTTTCCTTTGGTAATCTTTCATAAACTCAAAATAATCTCCCCTTTGCTAGATACATGAAAAAGAAAGCATGCTAGTCAGAAACAGACCCTGAAGGTTTTCACCCTTGATGGAATGTAAAGAATGGAAAAACTTAGCCACGGAATGTAGATATAGAGAAGGGAGTTGTCCAGGATTATTCCTAAGAATGTGGCTTGAATAACTGGATGAACAGAGATGCCATTTAAGAAGTAGGATAAGCAGGTTTTGGGGGTTAGGACTGAGAGTTCAGTCTGTTGGAGGAGTTGCCAAACAGTCTGGCACCCCAAATTCTCTAGTGTCAGGAGACAGTTGGGGATACTGGAGCTCAGAAGGAAACTTTGCTCTAGAAGTGAAAGAGTGCGGGTGTTAGCTAGAGATCATACTGAACACAATGGGGATGGCTGGGGTATTGATAGAGGCGAGAACAGAGCGGGGCTTGAGGACTGCTACTCCTGAACTCAGGGGGAGGAGAGGGAACACTGGCCAAAGGCGAGGTTGGCCTCTTCTGTGTTCCAGGCGGTCGTGATATCTGAAAATATGGCTTCTGGAACTCCACCCCAGCCCAGAGAGACTTGCCATCCATCAAAGACTGTAGCTTCAGGGCACGTTAATTGCTTTTATCTCCTTACTTAGGTCACATGAACATTTCAGTCAGTGCAATTCCTCAAACTTCTCAAAAGAACAGCTAAGTCACTGTCTTCTTTTAAGCCAAAGATGATTAGTCTTTAATTCTTGTTAACTGATTCGACTCCGCTTTGTTTTATTACCGGTCTCACCGTATCCATAGAATATTTCTAACCCTTAGCAGATGCGTGGTCTCAGTCCAGTTGCTTAGCTCTCTGCGCTTCAGTTTCCTGACCAGTAAATCAGAGGTGTTAGTAGTATCCACCCCATAGGGTTTGTGAGGATGAGATGAGCTAATTCATGTCAAGTGCCTGGAACAATGCCTGGCACATCAGTTCTTAATAAATGTTCGTTGTCATCGTCCTCCTCATCTATCAGAGCTTCTCATGATTATATTCCAAAACCGCTCACCTAGTTAGTATTTGTCATTAGGGAAACTATGGAACATGTCAAGGAACCGCTTTGCTAACTGCGAGGAACCCAAAAGAAAGAGAGGGTGGGTTGGGGGGGCAAGCAGAATAAAAGATATAGGCCCTCTATCCCCACTTCAAACAGATTTCTTCCCTTTTATTTGCTGTTCATATTGTTTCTAGAAGTGTCTCGTGTGAAGAAAGATTCTACTACTTGAGGGAAAAAAGTAATCTTGGCTATGCTGCTAACTAGGATAATTTTCCAGCTCCTCTCAACCACAATTCAATTCAACAAGGTTTTTTGGACTCAGTTCCTACTACGTGCAGAGAGATGTCTGGGTTCCTTAGGGGGAAAGGAATAAGGTTGTTCTCTGCCTCCACGTGGTTCGTAATATCATAGTTGCCCTGAACCCACAGGCCCCGAATCAGGAGTTACGCCCTGTGTGCTAGGGCAGAGATACAGAGTACAGAGACAGCACAGAGGAGGGGGCTCCTGGGAGGCTTCATGAAGAAGGTGGCTTTTGAGAAAGGGCAGGATCTCAATAGGCAGAGATGCATGGGGGGTAAGCCCAGGAGGCAGGGACGGTATACACAGAGGGAGGGGCATCGAGCATACCTCATTCTCCACACGCAAATGATCCTAGACTTTCGGGCTTCAGTCTGGTTTGACTGGCACATAGGGGAAGGGAAGGAAAGAAGGTGGGGACTCAGTATGTCTCCTAGAGAAGTTCAGCGTTTATGCCCAGGCTTTGGAGCAAATGAGTGATAGAATCAGCACTGTTTTTCGGAAGATGCATGTGACACCAGCACTCCTTTACTTTGTGGTTCAAGACTGTTGGCAAGTTACCACAGGAAAGGGACGGTAAGACGCCAGATTAAAATTCTCTCTAAACAGAATTAGCTCTCAGTATTCATTTTCAACCTAGCTCATTAGGGCAGGTTGGGCCTTCTTATATTTTGTTAATTGCCTCTACCTGAAGAATCTTTCTAAAACAAAAAAACTACAGCACACATTACTGCCATTTGAAAGCCTGAGTTTTTAAAGAGTATCATACATAGTGACAGTTTTGATGTATGCCAGTGGGTGTGGGTCTCAGTACTTCACCATTCTCTGCCTGCATGATTTAAAATGACAGTGTAGCCTGTCAAACTTAAATGTGAGTGAAGTTCCTTGGATATTTATAAAACATCAAATAGATAGAATTGTGTCAGCAGAAGATGGGCCCTTTTATTACTAAACCACAGAAGGATTTTTGGATAGTTTCTGGCAACACATCTGTAAGCTGAACTTAAAGCTACAGCGTGAATATGGTGGTCCACGGTTGTGAAGGTGTTTTCACCCATTGCAGTAAAAGGATACCAGAATACTCCAAGCAAGTCAATGATGCAACTTCTGTTCTGTTTTGTCAATGAATTAATGATCCAGAGTTTCAGGTTCCCCTGAGAAAGTGGCAGTTACCCATGCAAATAAAGCAAGCATTAGTCTGCAAACCTAGTTGGCGGTTTGCCGCTTTTCAGCCGTTTTACCAGATACCTGAAGGCCTCAACTCCAAGTTGGGAGTTGAGATTTTTTTACATGTAGTTCTAGACATAGCCTGCCTACTTCGATATATATATTCCCAGGGTTGCGTGGACACTAGTTTTCGTGAATTTACTAATGCTTAAATACTTGTAAAACAGCACGTAGAGAGCGAGCGCCAAAATCTACGCCCGCAGCGTCCAGCGCGACCCAGCCCGCGTCTGCGTGGTCCGGCCCGAGCCCCGCCTCCGGGGGCGTCCCCTGGCCCTCTGGGTCCCACAGCCCCCCCCAGCCCCGCCCTGCGTCCCGCAGGCCCCGCCCCGGCGCCGGGCTCTGACGTCACCGTCTGCGCCGCGCGCGGCAGAAACAGGAAGTGGGATCAAAACAAAGGAGCGGCGGCGGGGAGCGGACCTACCTTTTTCCCCCTTTGGCGAGCCCGTTTTGGCCCTGGCCACCGACCTTAGGGAGCCGTCCGACTATGTCCAACATGGAAAAACACCTGTTCAACCTAAAGTTCGCCGCCAAAGAACTCAGCAGGAGTGCCAAAAAATGCGACAAGGAGGAAAAGGCCGAAAAGGCCAAGATTAAAAAGGCCATTCAGAAGGGCAACATGGAAGTGGCGAGGATACACGCCGAAAATGCCATTCGCCAGAAGAACCAGGCGGTGAATTTCTTGAGAATGAGTGCGCGGGTCGATGCGGTGGCTGCCAGAGTCCAGACGGCGGTGACGATGGGCAAGGTGAACAAGTCGATGGCCGGTGTGGTTAAGTCGATGGATGCGACGTTGAAGACTATGAATTTGGAGAAGATCTCTGCTTTGATGGACAAATTTGAGCACCAGTTTGAGACGCTGGACGTCCAGACGCAGCAAATGGAAGACACGATGAGCAGCACGACTACGCTGACCATTCCCCAGAACCAAGTGGATTTGCTGCTTCAGGAAATGGCAGACGAGGCTGGCCTAGACCTCAACATGGAGCTGCCGCAGGGGCAGACCGGCTCCGTGGGCACTAGCGTGGCTTCCGCCGAGCAGGATGAACTATCCCAGAGACTGGCCCGCCTGCGGGATCAGGTGTGACGACAGAACCCACTCTGAGGTTTCCTGGCCGTAGCCACCTTCTGAAATGCTCTGTATATTAGATATTATACAGTAGAAACTGAACATGCCAGAATGCTGAAATGCTCTTTACTTAAGATGCTTCTACCTTTGGGTTTACAGTGCTCTCCAGATACACTAAGAAATTCCAGGCTTCCTCCATCTTAACTGGATTTTAAAGTTCCGTATAGCTTGTGATGTGTATTTTTATAGCTGCCTCTTAACAGAACTAGTTAATTTGGTGTGTATGAATCTTTCTCAAAAATTTGGTCAAAACTCTTGTTCCGTGTATTCAGTTTTCTGCCTGAATTTATCAAAATTGAACTTTTTTTTAATTTAGTGTAATTGGTAATATCTAGAGTTGACAGGTGGTGCATAAAAATTAGAGAGAGGAGAATGATTACTTAGATTGATTACAGGACTATCAACACCTCATTCAACCTAACGGGATAGTGTTATTTCTGTGTATTTTTTTTTCTTTACCATCACATCCAGACTACTGTTCTATTGATCTGTTCTCATAACTTATACTAAAATTATGGTAGGGCATTCTGCATAATATTCTCTTACTGTTTATGTTCCACAAATTTTTTGTGTGGTAGTTATTCTTTTACAACTGGAAAAAAATGCCACTTAATTTCATTTATTATAAGTAAAAACTGCTCATTTATATTTTCATTTACTAAAGAGTTTTCAAAAGATACGGTTGAATATGACAGTTTCAAATGAACATCTTGAGCACATTTCTCGTTCTTTTCCTATTTCAACATTTTAATTAGACTTGTCATAAAGTATGTTAATTAGCATGACAGTCATATTACTCTAACATTGCCAAAGAACTGTTGATTGGTTTGAGAAAACCCTGGGGTGGTGTGTTTGTAGGTTTTCTTTAATTGTTTATAACCAAAAATAGATATAAAATTAGAACTGCTTTTTGAGTTCTAATTATTTGCATTTATTATTTTCTTTTAAAGCAACAACCTGTTGAGAAAAACCTTAGAAATATAAGTTGGATGTTTTATTTAGCCATGCAGTTAATTTAAATATACATGCAGCCAGCTGGACCTCTGGGAAGAGGGAAAAGATGCAGAATGGGACAGCAGGCTTGACCCTCTAAGGCTAGAGCCCATCTGTGCTGCCTTTTTTGTCTTTCTGGAACAGCAGTATGTATTCTCTGGCTGCAAAGTAAAGCCTGTAGCCACCACTTTCTCATGGCCTCCAAACATGGAGAACAGCAATTTGCTTTTGCTTTGGCAAGTGTATTAATCTAAGTCAAATACTTAAGGACATTTGAAATTCCCCTTTTCCTTCACTGGTGGATTTCCCCATAAAAGAATTCCAGTGTTTCAGAAGATACTTAGAGGGACACTTCCAAGCCCTTTGAAAGATTCATGACCAAATAGTCACCATTACATTTTCCATTATGAATGAGTGTGTTAAAAAAAAAAAAAAAAATGAACAGGTATATGCAGATGAGGACTGACCCTCATATTTAAGTGTCTTTATATCTGACTGGATGTTGTTCCGAAGTCTTCCATAAGAGACACCTGTCGATTGTCTGCCCTGTATCTTTTTAGAACTCTC